TTGCAGAAGTGCTGTTAATAGTGTTATCCACAAGACCAATTTAGTGGGTTTATCTTGGCTGTCTTGGCATATTGAGATAACACAGAACCAAGTGTCAGCACAATAGTGCCTGCCAAACATAGCAAAAATATTCCCCTTTTTTTTCAAACGTACTTCCTTGTAGTTTTGTACACCCACACATTATTCTTGTTAATCATTAAATTTAATACTGAAGTTGTAAGTCACTTTGACAAGGACTGCTGGCTCAAAATTTTACATGTCCAAATCTCCAATTTTACAAACTACTGGGCTAAAAATACCAAGATTGCACTCAACTTCAACATTAGAGTTCTTGAAATTCTAAAACAATTAACTGCTGTCTATTATTGTGCCATTGCTAACACTGACAGTGTATAATGATAACTATAACAGAAACAGTGCTAAAACAAACTTTCAACAAACACTTCCCAAGGATACTGTCACACTGTGGCAGAAAAAAGCTTACCGTACATCATTCAGCAACGCTTTTTCAAAATATTTGAGGTATACATGTACACTGTATGTACACACTGTATGTGTATATCGTAATGATATCTAAAATATTGATTCAGTCAATAAAAAGGTGAGGTTGCCAAGAAACACACACAAATGGTCATGGGTATTTTATAGTTTCTGTTGTCCCAATAGCTATCGACTAAAACTTGGCCTTGGTATTTGCAGATGCTAAGATCCCAGGATCTATATGCAGGCTACATTGTACTTAAATCTACCTACAGAATCAGCCAACCTTTCAGTGTGTGTAAGCATTTGGGAGCCTTTTTTCAACACATTGAGCAAAGCAGCTTCTAGTAAATTGTACTCTGAAAGGAATTGTGTTTCTAGATGTTTACAAAACAAGCCCAACTGACACAGGTCAACGCAAAGTAATTTTGACAAAGCCACCCGGACGATTGGCCTTGCCAAAAGCTACATGGATGAAGAAATGTAATAACTACAATTCTAGATTACTGGCCTGAAGCCATGTAACATGATAAATCATGGGTGGGCCAGTATTTCACACACAATTTTTGATGCACAACAATGAACTATCTGTGTCTATTCTAGTCCCCATATCAGCTACAGTGTATGTTTACTTTGGTGAAGATTATTACCTGCATGAGGCTGACAAAAATTCAAAAGTGATCCAAAAACCGTCAAACATCTTTTCCAACAAAAAAGCTAAATGAAGTGCCTTCATCACTAAGTGCTATAAAATAACTATTCCTACACATGTTTTGGTACAATCAGAATGTTGTCCTAGCTATCTTTCACCTATCATTGTGTATTATTAATATTAACCCAATTTTGCACAGTACATCATCATCACAGTACAGTGTTACTATTGTAATGTAAAACCAAACGCAATAAGTTACACATTCACCTATGATATGAAGGGTTTGTGCATATGGTTTAAATACAGAGAAAATATGGTTCCTATGCATTAGTCATGATCCACAGTCCTCCAGTCAAAAGGCAAGAGCAAATTTGGCTCCATACCAACAAGGGGCAAATGTCTTTTTCCTCCCTAAGGACTTCCCTTGAATCATGATGCAGAACCCAACACCACTGGGCTAAAAGCTCTCCCATCTGTGTCACAATGTACATTGTATTATACACCATCCATGACAATGACATTGACAATAGACAAGCTGGTTTGGCTGGACAAAATGGTGTGTGTGATGAGATCGTCTATACAGTGATGCAAAACGAAGGGCCAGATTCATTAGTCATTACTTATCATACATACAAAAGCACATGCTAATCTCAACAATCTATTGTCCAATTAGGGGTCTGAAAGGCTGGTTTATTTCAAATGTTTGGGTTGTGAGACTGTCAGGGAATTTCTCGGAACGAAAAGGAAAAGGAGAAGAAATATAACAGAAGCAAACTAGTGGTCAGTGTCAAATAATAACCCACAGATGTCTATTATGTAGTTAACTTCAATAAACAAGGCAAGAAAACAAAACAAATAAACCATGTATTTATGTCATCCGTATCTGACAGATGCGACCAGCATGTCAGATTTTGACAAGGAGGTTTATCAAGGCTTGATCTGGGGCAGTTCAACTTCTGCATCACTGACAGACATCTTCATACACAATGTACCGGTATGTGTAGGTCCCATGAAATTCAGGGAGGGAAAAGACACAGACAGTAGAAGTGAAATCATCCTATCGTGGTTTTAGCTTCCTCTCAGTGGACTTTTACCCAGGGTATCTAGCAGGGAGTGTGTATACCTGATCTGACAAACCTGAACCATAATTCACTTCCAGTCTGTCTAGTCATCTGGAAATTGGAAAGCCAAGCCAAAAAATGTGTGAGACAGCCTTGGACTTGGTCTGGCATTTTTTCAAAACATTTACAAACATTGCTTTGAAAGTGACTCTCAGATGTACTGGACTCTATCAATGAAAGAACAACTTTTCATTAAACATTTCAAACACTATATATATCCTCGTAGGCTCCCGATAGTGTGCAGCGCCCTTTCTGTTCCTGTCTCTGGAGCTAGAGACTAGTAGTATACATGTACTATAAAAGTGGACATTAGAGGTGGGCTTGGACTGATCCATAAAAGCCAAAGTCGTGATCATGTGGAGGAAAGCCCACTTTAGCGCCTGGAGAGCGCCGAGAGGAAATGGCCCATACAAAACCAAACGATGCATCAGGGCTGAATGTGAACTGAGGTCCATAATTTGCAGCCCAACAAACAGACGTGCTGCTGAGCTGGAATGAGGCTTCCAGACCCCTGTTGCTACTTCCGACAGCCAGGGCCAAAATTACTGGAATTTTTATTTTCTCCAGGGCTGAGCAGGAACTGCACTCAATTTACTCATGCGCTTGCAATACTGGATTCACAAAGGGGTTAGGGATTAGGATGAAGAATCTTAAATGTCCTTCAAGAGGTCAAAAGGTCTTGACCTCGCTATCCCCTACCACAAAAAAAATGTTCTCTTCTCTAGAAGTCACCAAATTAAGACTCTAGACAAGAATGGTTCCTATTTGGGGCTTGACACACATGTCTGCAAACCATCTGTGACTTGCTGCTTCTTTTGGTCAAATGTTGAGTAATTCGGTCATCTCAAATTCTACTGGGGTATTTCTGAAGTTCTACTTCTGAATGCATGATCATCCTGTGGTGAGCATATTCCCTTACAAGCAGCTGAACTGTCTGTATCAAGCATATCATATGGCACAGAAAATGTGTCAAAGTCCAAAGATGGGGTCTAACACACTTCAGATGGAGTCATTTATTAATATCGTCTCTTGAAATTAAATGACTGGAACTGCCACATACCAAGGATACCTTTGAAATCAAATGAGTTTAAAACTCCCGACTACATTTTGTTAAACTTTCATTCTACAGAAAACCTATTACAAGAAAGAAAGGCTTATTGCACCTTTTCAGGCTATAGTCTAGCTTCTATTTACGTAACATACAAAGACAAACCTAAACTTCTAAACCCCTTTGTTAGCTGTCAGTCACTCATGGTTTTACATTGTTTTCCTTGACAAGGCACAACAAAAACATGACTAAAGCAGAGGGCTTGTAACTCCAACGAGGAGTGACCACACCCTAAACTTCGGTTTTAAAGTTTGTTTTCCTTTAAACCACGCCTAAAAACGGAAGCTGTAACAGCACAATCTGAGGAACCAGACTGAAATCTTCTTGTGGATTACTTCCTGTATTGGTCATCTGATACCAGATTTCTATAACCCATGAAAAATTAACAAATGGAATCCAACAAACCACAACATTCGTCGATTTCACACCGATTACCTAAGACAACGGACAGGTTGCGCCCCAATGGAAGAGAGAAAACAACCATATTTGCTTTTATGCCACGCAAAAATTGGCTGTGCCAACAGTGAGGCACGAGAACTAGGAAGAGTACTGTAGTAGGAAGTTTTGATACAGCAAGTGCAACAGGCTTTGATTTTGAGGATGAATTATTGATAACCACAATCATTACTGCCAACAGTTTTCCTTTTGTGTGAGCTTTCAGACAAGAGGAAATATATGAGGAGTGGAATCTGGGGAAAGGTTGGGCATGAAAAATTCATCAACCATTGTTCAACTGACTCACTCTACATGCATCTAGGGAATGACGGAGTATGCATGCCACAGAAAACACCGTACAAGAGACATTCCCGGTGTACAAACTGGCTATGACTGTTTTTAGAAGGACTTTTGTGGGACTAAAAGGACATCTTTGTTCCCGGCTTGTTGTTGAACAGATGAAAGTCTTGAGAACAATGAAGGTACAGAACCACCTGTGCAAAAGCACTGGGGTTCAAAATCACAGTCGATTGGGAAGGAACATAGGGCGCTTGGCTAGGCTCAGGACGGATTATTTATGCCTATGGCTGTGTCTATCGTGAAACACATACTCAAGAATTACAACATGGATCTCAAACAAATTGTATCCATCGTGTAACACTCATGTAACACTCTTGCAACGATGTTGCAATGTCTATATCTAACCTTATTCCTACAAGAAGGGCCAGGTTTAGGCGTCTTGGGACCTTTCTTCACGAGCTACCCCGTTAAGTAACGGAAGAAAATCGTAAATGAAAAGCACATTAATGCCCTGGGCTAAAATCCAGTGTTTTACTCCATTAGTAACCACCAGGGTGGGCTGTAATTAAATTTGCCGTCACGACGGTGTACCGTTATCCAGGTTTTTCTACTCGCTAGGTGAGTGTTAGCGCCCTCCCCCCTTCCCATGCTCCCGGCTAGGTTTTTCCGCGCTGGTGGTCGCAGGAATTTCGGAACAAATGTCTGATCTGTGTTGAACAAGCGGCAGGAAGGTGGTAATGTCGCTGTGATGGCTGATCCGGGCCTAAACAAACCCACAAACGTGCCCGGACGAGAGAGGTTCAGGGACAAGTTTGGACGCTGACGCCATGATGACAACTACTCGCCAAACAAGATCCCGTTTATCACAATTTTTCCTCACAATAAAAATACAATCCGGACTCACCGACACCTAGCAGGAAGCATCCCCGAGTGTTTTCCATCTTGATTCCCCGAGTGAAGGTTTTTAAAATCCGCTACAACGGTTGGGTTCAAAGTCTTGCCGTGCTCCCGCCGGACATATTTTGAGTGTGATTGTAACTGAGTACGGTAGCGGCGAGTAGGGGAGTAGCCCGATCCGTCACGTGACCTGGATACGGCTTGGGGGTGTGGCTTCAGCTGTCAATCATTTAGCCGGGGGCGACGACGTGATGACGTGACGGGTTCCCTTTGAGTGACATTCAACATGTTACTTTAAAGCAGATGTTGGACAATGTTGGACGTGGAAGATTGTAGCATTTGATATCTCAGACCCGAACGTCATGTTGAAACGTCAATCAGGAAACGCTACGATCTTTCCTCCGAACATCTGCTTGGAGATAGGACGTGTTTCATGAATCTCCAAGCAGATCTCTGGTGGAAAAAGCGTTGGGGGAGTAGAACTGGCATCTAGAGAGAACTTTCAGCCGCTCAGTGGCAACTGTCTGGCAAATGGATACTGCCGGGCCAATTTGATACTGTCTTTGCAGCCACCGAAAGATCTGCTTGGAGATCGGAGGTGTTTCATCATGATCTATCATGTCTGTGGTCCAAGTTCTGACGGATGGAAAACGTTATCTAAACCGTCATCTTGATGTTGGCGATATCCCTCACGTCCTGAGTCCTTCGCTCACGATCTTGACAAGCTGTCATGAACTTGATGTATGAAGGCCACAGCGGCGCCCTGCCGTGTAAAAAATGACGCGTTGTGACACAAAAGAATTTTAAATTTCACTACCACCTAGTTTGCTGCACAAGCATTTCTGAGTGAGTCCCGTCCAGACCAATAAATGCTTCGACATATCAAGAAGGTATAAAAGAGGTTACATGAATCCCAATCATGTGAAATGTAATGCTTCTTATATGTATGATGTGTGTGTATCGAGTGGCCATCGTGAGCCAATCAAATGGAAATTCCATACAGGTGACCCAGCATCAACAAAGTGGGGTGACTCAGTGACTCACTGATCACTGAGGTTGTTGACTCTTATATTATAGAAAGTTCCTCTTTGTGACACATGTATAAATTAGCGTCACGACGGTGCAGGAACAGGTGGTAGCAGCTTGGGTGTTTCATAAGGACTATTGTTACCTGACTTGACGTTTGCGTGCCACAGTTTGACAAGAAAATTGGGCTACCAGCGGCCGCGCCTTTCTGGGTTAATAAGTAACCTGGCGAACAAACTTGAAAACAATTTCTAAGGTCCACCGCGGTCACAAAGTTGACCAGGGGTTTACGCGCTTTGTGACCCCAATCATTTTGCGTCCGGAACATTTAGATGTGTCCTTCACGACATAAAAACTTTGATCCCAGTTGTAACTTTACTTTTATTTTCCCTACTCCTGGGAGAATTGCTTTCCAGTAAAAATAGTATATTCTTCCTTTCCGAAGTCCCACCTACTTGCAATCCCATTATTTGCCGCTATAAATTTCCGCTAAAAGCCTGAAGCACAAACTGAGCGGTCAAGATTTTAGTCATAAATATTAATATTGAACTCGAGTTCAATCTATTCATGCTCATTTCGGCAATTTGCATTATTTTTTTTCACTGCGATTGTTGAGATGTTGGTCAATATCATGGTAAGAACTCTAGGGACTTCCTTGGTACTGCAGTGCCGTCAGATAAAATTACATAGTACACATGTATATGCAGTATAATTACAGGCTCAACGTGGTCTGCCTGGATGACAGTACAGAAAAACCTTTGGAAGTGTGAAAATGTTCATGTAATTTAACGTTAGATCGACAGTGGATTTTTTTATCATTTTGGCGGTCTTCCTTTCATTCTGGTTACATTCCTGTGTGCCGTCGTGGCGTGGATAATTTGGACCCACAAAAGCGAGACTTAATCATCCATTTCTCCGTACATTTGCTATCGCGATTAAAGCCATCATCACGCCAAGGTCAAATTTTCTTGCACCGCAATTCCCTGATAAGGAAGAAGACAACCGGAGACATCGCAAAGCCCCCAGTCAGGTCTGGCGCAAGTCCAAGTTCGCTCCGCCATCCAGAAAATTGATGTCAAACAAGACGTAGTTGACAGAAACGTATCGGTGGAGTTAAAAGACTCCATGGGTGGCTCACGTTTCTGCCCGCTGTCCCTGGGTTTGCCCCGCGTGTTTGTGTATTTCTGGCTGGTTGCGTGTGAACTGCCTCAGGTGTGCATCGGAACAATGCAGCTCTTAAGAACCCACTGGGGGGCATAATAAGTGTCATTTACGGGTGACGCTTTCCATGACCGGTGACACTTTCCCTTTCCTTCACACGACACACAGAAAACACCAGAGCGGGTGTCATCGTAATGTATGAATTTGAGATTTTAGCAGTGATGTTTCTCAACGTTATGTAGGACGGATATTGATTCTACAAGCTATGCAAGCTAAAACTGTATTATTACCTTCGCCAAGAAGGTTATGTTTTCCTGGCCGTGTGTCTGTGTGTGTGTCTGTTTGTCTGTCAACAGCATAACTCGAGAAAGCTTCGATGGATTATCTTGATACTTGGTAGGTTGGTAGGTCTTGATGAGACCTGGAAATGATTAGATTTTGGACCCCCTAGCGGCTTGTTATGGTACTGCAGATGAAATTACGGTTTTGATATCTCACTCACTCACTCACTCACTCACTCACTCACTCACTCACTCACTCACTCACTCACTCACTCACTCACTCACTCACTCATACCTGTCGTCCTTACAAACTTTTAAAAATCCCATTATTGCGTGTACTACTATTTGTGGGCTATTTCTCTGCAGACAAATTTCACATTTCCTTCCATGACATTCAACATTCATGTCATCATATCTACCAGACTGGATTGCTACATGATCAACTTAATTTGTCTCCTTACATTTCTGTTCTTCTTCGCATCCACCAAGTTGGAAATAATATAGTTCTGTAAACCGTGTTACATTTGCGTCTTATATGCCTTTCATACGTAGTACAAAAAACACGTATAGTAGCAGTGTCACAGCGCCCTCTTGCAACTACACCGCAATAGTGAAGGAAACAAACATTTATTTTTCTTATGTAACATTTTTGTCTGTACTAAATATTTCTGGATTGTAATACATGCCGTAGTACTGCAGTGTGCCGTTTTTTAAATACTTTTTTTAACGGGGTTTCATTTTTGCAAAGGAATTGCTTTTCTCACCCACCCCGCTGACGTGTGTGTGCCGGCACTGTAAAATGGTTACCCCTAATGATAATTTGATGGTTCCCGTGGAGGAGCACTGTCACGTTTCTTGAATAGGTTTGCCCTGCCCTGGGGTGAGTGCCGGCAGAGGTTGGGTTGGGCAATGACATTCTGTGTATAATGTCCTTGGGTTGGGTGAAAAAAAATTCCAGTGCAAAAAAGAAACCCCGATAAAAAAGCCTAAAAACACGCCCAAAATAACTCAAAACCCAAAAGTGGACTTGACAATGCCCATCACTAAGACAACCTGCCTACCAAAAATCGTGAACCTCGGACCGTGCCTTCAAAATTTATCGTGCATAATCTGCCAAACAGTACCAAAACGATTTCATAGCCTTCTGTCGAAGGCAGTACTCGACTGCAGCTCTTATTCATTCCGCTTAGTGTCGCTCTTGAACCGCGTGTGCGTAAGCGGTACTCAGACCAACATGGCGGCGCCCATGAGGTTTGGCACAGGTTTGTGTAGATATTCATGTAAAACATTTTTGTATAGCTGTTGCACTGAACGTTAAGGTCAGATCTCGGACAGACTGAGGTTATATTTGCTGTGCTCTCTGTGTTTACGTTCGCTAGTGCTTGAAGCTATCGCTGAACTTGTTGCCCTTGTCTCTGCAACGTGTGGCATGAAACTTGAAAGCATGTCTAGAGTAATTTGTCTTTTTCTCAAAACAAGGAAAACGTAAGAAGTTTTCTGCATTTTATTATGCTAAGCTCACCCAGATAAAGACATGAAATTCGGGGTAGTTCGAGACAGCTTCATTTGTAATTTGTGAGTTCTAAAAAAATGTCTCCATCCCTGCCCCCCTCCCCCAGATTTTCTGTCCTATGCCACTTTATAATGGTATCATGGATATTCTGAGATGGACAATAAGTAGATATATATTTCAGAAGTATCTTGTATGTTTGCTTTGCTTTTTAAATTTTGTACTCAAGTTTATATCAAGGACATTATACACAGATGTCCTTGTTTATATTAATAACCGTGATAATTGCATTGGTTTCAGCTACAGTGATGCAGTCCGCTGTCACCAGGGGGCTCTTGAGATCACGACTGTTCTCAGCATCAACAGCAGCCACACCTGTGAGTGACCCCGTCAAGCAAGGGTCATCAGAAAAGGAGGCCCCATTGATCCTTGAGAAGGATGGTATGTTCTTCATATTACATAAAAATACAATTGTTTACTCCAGGTTTGCGTTGTCACTACGTAATATGAAAGAAGCCGTGTATCCATTTTTCAACAATGAAATAATGTTCTCCATTGCTCACATATCCAAATGGAGGAAGAAATATTAAGTGTCAAAATCTATCCATAATTGTAACTGTTCCTCCTTTAACTATTTGTTTCTGCTCTATATGTTGACAGAATCAACGATGCAGAGAATTCTGCTGGAACCTCTGAAGCATCCCGACTTCTTTGAGGTCAGCAAACTCTTCACCCAGAGGGACCTGTTCAATGCTAACGTCCACGTCGGCCACAAGGAGGGAGTGTGGGACAGGAGCATGTACCCGTACATCTTCGGCGCGCGTCTCGGAGTTCACATCATCGACTTGGACCAGACTGTCGACCTCCTAACCCGTGCGCTGAACTTCACTGCGCACATGGCCTACCGTAAGGCAATCGTCCTGTTCATCAGTCGCCACCGCCAGTTCACACAGCTCGTGGAGAACACGGCCAAGGACTGTGGGGAGTACGCTCACACGCGCTACTGGCAAGGGGGGATGTTCACTAACGCTACCATACAGTACGGGGAGGGGGTGAGGCTGCCGGAGTTAGTCATCTTCCTCCACACGCTGAATAACGTGTTTGAGCCACACGTGGCGATAGGAGATGCGGCGAAGATGAACATCCCCACTGTCGGGATCGTGGACACCAACTGTAACCCAAACCTGATCACGTACCCAGTACCGGGGAACGATGACAGTCCTGAAGCCGTGGAACTCTACTGTAGGCTGTTCAAGGAAGCCATCTTGAAAGGGAAGGCAAAGAGAGAGGAGGTTGAAAAGCAGATAGCTAAGGAAAGAGAAGAAAAAACAAGAAAAGAAGGAGCATGATTTTGATACAGAGGATCTCAGAATGACATTTGTAGTGAGGCAGTCAAGTCAGAAAGTTTAGAGGAATAGAGTTGTATTCTATTCCAATTTACTGTGTCATTTGTTGTCAGTTTTCTTTCTAACTTCCTGCATACTTTTTCCTTGTTTAGACGCATATAAATGAAACAGATTAAATTCCAACTACAGTGAATACTCTCATGTTTAATATACATATCACTAGCAGTTAAAACACACTGTACAGTGCATAATATATAGTATATATACATGTATAATATTATCACTTTAATTCTTTTGCCCATGCACAACTCTCATATTCTGATAAATACATATAATCTATCATCCATTTGTATATACTATATATCAGATAATGTTACAAAGAAAATAGAGTCACTGTCTTTAGGATTCATTTTGTCAGTACAATTAATTAATACGGGTTATTGATTCAGATATTCCATATCGAAAGCTGTGTGAGTTACACTTTCTTCCATTGTTACTGCTATCAGGCTACCAACAATAAGACAGTGCTAGCTCTGTGACTTACCTTACTCCACACACTGAGATTTCTTAAGCCATTTACTGAACCAAATTTACTAACATAACTAGCCATTAGTCAACTGTTGCTGGTGTCTGAAATTCCAGTACTGTTACTCCATTTATCCTCCTATTTATACTTGTGTTCAACTCCGACATTTATACTTGTGTTCAACTTCAACACCAAAAAACCTTTTCATAGCTCTAACATATATCTCTAACTACCAGTATCAGTTACAGATTATGATATTTGATAAAGAACAAGAATGGATAATGTGTATCAGGACTACAAACAGGGAATCTGGGTTTCTTGTGAGTACGTGTACAATAATCATAATATCAAATCATAATATTATACGTTTATATTGAAACAGACAAGAGAATGATGGAAAGTGTTCAACATTTGGTAAGTTCAACATGACATGCTCACCACTCCAATCCCATTCTTCTACAAGTATCACCACAAGATACTTGTTCTGGTCCAAGTTTTTGCATCAATTCATACATCTGTAGTTTGTACTTGTACAATTTATTGGGAAATATGCCAGAAGATATTGCAGAAGAGGTCCTATTTCAGCCTAAATTTTGACAAAAACAGTCACAGTTCAAAGGTGCACTAATTATTGTTTCTCACTCTTCCTGTGGCCTCAGAATCATTTGAAACATTTCATGACTTCCAAGTCCCAACGACATCCCTGTTTCATGAAGAGAAACTCCAGTATACTGTATGCTCCTCTCATCTCTCCTGGAAGAACTTTTACTCATCAGCAGACAGAAGATCATCATCATCATCATCCGGCTCATTCTGCACCTGTCTGGCCATCTGTGCAGCCTGTGGCGGGACGTTCCCCCCGTCAATCTCCTCACACCACTTCTTCAGCTTATCCAGCTCCTGCCGCCGTGTGATGATGGTCTTCTCCCGGTTAGCCACCATCTCCTCCAGGTACTGGTAGCGCAGCTTCTTGCGGGCCCGGCACTCCCGTGCGCTCTGCCTGCTCCTCTCCAACTTAGCCTTCATGTCAATCTTGGAAGGCTTTCGTCCACGTTTGGCCTGCTTCTTCACCTACAGGTCAAGAGATATTTGATGTGAATTTGTATTGTAACAAGTACAACCTGGTGAAACCTGGACCTAAAATGTTGTTTTTTTTACTAGTATTTGTTTGTACTTGATTTAATTGTAAAGTGTACCGTCCGACGTTTAATGTCATAGTCTTTATTAGACTGACTTGCTATGTATATAACGGATCCGTTATATATAATTATAACAGTGAAACTTGATACCTTGATACCTTGATACCTTGATACGTCATCCAGGAAAGAAGGCCGTGGCCTGTTATGTCCTGATCTCTGCTCACTCGGTTGCATACCTTCGCTTCAACTTACAGACAAGTACGATGACAGCAACAAAGTTATCATGAATCTACTTGTTGAAGAAATGACATGCCCTTTGACAGTAAAATTTGCTCTCTACTCATCTACTGTTTCCAGAACCGACGAGGAAATCGGTTTTGCCATGTCAGCATATGGAAGTACATGTATCATGTAGGCAAGTGACCTGAGTTAAAAACTTGGAATAACGAAAAGAACCTAGTCGCAAAAGGAGCCTCTGAGTTTCTTGTGTACAGACGAATCGAAAGTCTGGGCTGTCAGAACACGGAAATTGAAATTTGACCATGATTTTTAGTTCAAGACCTCCCTGTCTTTTTCAAAACAAACAGCCAAGTCCGACACAGGCGAGAGGTACATGTGAGGTTAAAAACATCGTTTTGAGAGACAAGCAAACTATCTTTTCCTTCTTACCTTCCCATCTGCCGTCTTCTGCGTCTTATCCTTTGTATCTTCAGGACTTGTAGCTTCTGTCTTCATGTTTGTGAGGTCCCACAGCGGAAAGGCTCAGCCTGTCGTCATGATTCCGTCTTCTCCGAAATGTTTTGGTGTTACGTCATCACCCGTGACTCACCATGGAATATTCCAGACGGTGAAATCAGCAATTTTATTAAAAATGTGTAAAATATGAACCATTACATGAATCAAGTGTGGGATTAGATTATATGATGTCTTTAATGTAGAAATTTACTGTCTTTCAAATCTATTTTCATACCATAGAAATTAGAAAAGTTATTATAAATTCACACCCCTTTCAAAAAAATAGACTAGTTTATTGACCTCTGAGGTAATCTCCCATCATGCACCGTTGCGCATGCGCTACACTCTAGTCTGTTTTCAGCTGTTTTTACTGATTTATACGCGATTTGACCCAAAATCTCTGGACAACAGGCCGCTGGGGAGTAAACAACCATCGCAAGCTGTTGTCCAACAAAGGTGGGTTCTTTGTGGTAAATTTCATCATTGTAACATCTCAAAGGGGTGTCAAAATGTCATCAGGAAAGCTGGCTAATATTTCCTAGCCTTATCACTGACATCATCGAATAAGGGAAACCCTGGAAAGTTGTTGACGTTGAACTTCTCAGGTAAAAAAATCGTCAGCATGTATCTAAAATCTATGAAGTGCCTAAATGGAGAATTGATCATGTCCTTGATGAGATTTGTTCGCCAACCAGATGCTGAAATACAAGGTCAAGGTAATCAAAAATACGTGTTTGGACAAGAAGTGGGTAGGGGGTGGGTCACGTCAACATAATAAAAACTTACAGAGCAGACTTGTTCCTCTTTCTCTGTCGCGTTCCTCATCTGTATTACAGGGAAGTAATTATCAGGTAAAAGGAACTGTTGACGTGTACAGAACCACGTCTTTCTGTGTGTAATTATAAAAGAGGTTATGAATAAGCAGTACTAATGTGTTGTCCAGGTGTATCTATAACTTGTGAACATAATAAGAAGAGAGTGAAATGAAACACAAGTACCATAACAGTAGTCATGATCTCATAGGATTCAGAGAATGCCAGAGATCTTGTTATCAGTAATTTTAATACCAGTATGTCCGGCATATCTCTAGGCTATGCATTTGACTATAATTTTTACCTTGAAGTTAGATGCCAATATCTAAATAAGCAGTGTAGTTCTGTTGGTAGTTTTGAAGGATGATATGTAGTCAGTATTTTATACCTCTAAACGGAGTCTTGGGCCCATATCACTCAGACTGTCCCTCCCTGTGTATTTTGTTATCAATCATCAAGTGATTGAGTAAATGTGGGTCATAAATATTTTTATATTTCTCCTATCACTAATATTGAATGTAGGAAAAATCATCCTTAAGACAGTGAAGCATCAGTGTCTCATCAACAACTCATTAGTGATAAGTGATTTATGAAGATGAATGCAGAAAATGTGTTGGTCTTTATTTCGTTTACTTCTTTAACTGTTAAGTGTTGATTCAGCTGACATCCAACCCACTACAACACTTTAGGCTATTTCGATGGTCTTGCCTAGAAATTAAACTGAATATTGAGTTACTAGTATTAATATTACCAATGCACCAATATTATAGATTACTGCTGCTAGCATAACAATTGTGGTGGGTTATTGATGATGATATTCTCAATGTTTGGCTCTCCTGAATTATGAGTTGATGTCCCATCCTAAGAGCTCCAACCACAAACACTGAGTGACAGTATAAATGCAAACTACAGTTCAGGTTACCAACAGCCCAGCAGGATCTGATTTCCTGACCCTGTGATTCGGAAGCGGTATTACTAACATAATAAACCACTTTATTTAAAGCATATGTATTTTTTTCTAAAGGATGGTACAAACAGTACACAGTAGGGGGTGATGTTTTATACATGTACATGTATATGGTGAATATGAGTCATGGACAAGTGTGGTTGTTGAATGTCACAAGAATGGAATCTTAAAAATGACTGTCATTTGGTTCCTACTGAGGCATTATTAGCTCTGACTCTGTGTTCAATCATGAAGTTATGATAGATGAAATGTTTCTGATGAAGTTTTGAGTGGTATAGATTTTTCTTGTGATGTCAGACAGTTCTTCGTACATGTTTGTTCTGCCATTACATTAGTATAGCTTGTACATATATCAATACACATTTTGAATGGTCTAAAGCAGTAATTTTGAATCTCTACAAAGCTTAAGCAGAAGAAGAACAGAAAATGAAACCTGTCTGAAAAGGCTTTTATTAAGGGTTTGCATGAATAATATGTCCCTAAAAGTGTTCCTTTACACTTATGGTATATATTGCTTGCCCAAGTTAATGAGGCCTAGCTTAGGTAATTCAATAAATCATGTGGATGTGCCAATGCAATCTGTGTATGTTGAACAGATAACATGCCCATTTATCAATGTAGCATGTAAATCTATATACAGGGGGTAGTTGGAATTTATGTCTGTTAGTAAGTTCCGATATTGTACAGGTCACCTCAAATTATTCATATTAGGTTGGCCAATTGAAGTATTGATTATTCATCAACCCTCCCAAAGATTGACTGACATTCTTGTTAGTACTGCTGATCAATACAAATTACAGAAGTGATTTGACTGGACTTGACTTGACTTATCGTGTATGCCAGCGTCTGTAAGACCTAGCTAGGAGTGGGCGTGTCTCCGCCTGTCATCCAATATTCATGTCAGGAGTGTTAGAACACCCGACCCGAGGTGGAGGCATGATTGTTGGCCCTGCCATGCTGTGGGGTCATGAATGTTTCATAAGACTGAGGGATGGAAGACTGGGCATGTAGGTTAGGGGGAAGTTATTTTGGAGATGTTGACATTAGAGGTTTGAAGCGTCTTAAGGATGGATGTAACCGTGGTAAGTTACAGTCCATCTAATGCAGTTTGTGAGGGAAATGGGCTGCATATATAGTGGCAGTAAATATCTCATTTTACTTTAATTTGGTACAGTGACATCATGTTGTGCTATAGTTAATGCGGTATACATGTAGGAATGATAAATGTGTCTGTCTGTACAATGTCTGGGTCTTTGAGTTTGAACTAAAGAGAGCAAGACCAGGACATTAGCTGGAAGAAGTAGTCAGTCAACTTGTAGTAAGATTTAAGAAATGAAAGAACAATGTGGTATTCTATATCTCCACATTTCATAATTTTGGAACCATAGACACATGCAATTTATTAAGTCGATGTATACATGTAAGTAAACTGTCCTGTTCTTTATTCTGAGTAGTTACACAAGACAAACTAACTAAGAAAAAAGTCTTTACAGAGTCCCAGTCTCACAGCTGTTTCCAATCTTATCTTCTACAGTTTCTCAAGGATGAACTATGGAGGACAACAAGAGTTCCAATGACTCCCTGTCTGCAGAGGAGTACGTTCTAGTCCCTACCCCAGAACATACCCAACAGAACATGGAGGCTGCTGGGAAGTCAAGTGAGGAGCTTGGATTGAAGGTAACTCATAGCATCTTCAAACTTGTTATTTCAATTACGTTTAAGGATTTAGACTCAAGAAAAAAGATTACAAGGACTCTGGACTCAGTTTAAGAAGTATCAAAGAAAGGGCCTGGAGACAACTCACGGAGGGAGTAATACTAATAGGCCAGTTACTGGCCTAAGCACTTAGAATTAGACATTATTTATGGCATATTCCAATTGCTTCTGTTCATAGAATCTTAAAGTTAAAGTAATTGAACTGAATTTCTTTATTTCAGGT